GACTTCATCTGGTTTTGTGTCATGCACTGTGATATGTAATGGTAGTATCAGTGCCACTTAAAATAACTAAATTACTGATAACTCTACTTTTTATCAAGTGTTCTCAATTGAGTAACTCCTAGGTGAAACCATTCAAGTTTAGATTTGGGAAATGGTAAAGGAATCAACTTTTTCTATTGCTTGTTTGGGTAAAATACTGATTGAAGACTATCAAGTCAGATTTACTTGTTGAAAGCCAGTGAATCTGATTATAAGCATCTTATTAAGACAGGAAATGAGAATCAGTCGAGTACTGAAAGTTTCGTGTCCTAGGAACACCTAAACCAGTAATTTGCCAACAATCTGATATACTGCCGAAAGAAAATGTGAATTTTCCTTACGGAATACTTGCAGTTTAGTAATCTGATTGGTGGTGAATGTGGAAGGGGCACTAGGAGCAATTCAGAATGAACAGTGTTTCTCGTGTAGTGGATAGGTGACTGCAAAAAAGGTGCCAAAACCATTTTTATAGAATCAATTGGTGGTGAGAGTAGCTTCCAAAATGCATTTTTTTAAAGCACTGCACAAGCTATTCTGTGATCTGGCCTCAATCATCCCTGCAAAGCATGTTTAAAATAGGGAGCTACATAATGTGAAAGTTTTGAGTTTTGAATACATAAGAAAGAGCCATGTAAATATATGTAATAAACTTGTAGCATATGTAAAGTTTTGGCATTTATCCTACAAAAATAAAGAGTATTTTAGTATAAATTTGTTGAATGTAAGACCATAGACTCTTTTTATGCCTATGGCCTAATTTTAAAGGTCCAGAATAATTTGTTTTTAAAGTCTGCCCTTGTGCTAAAGTGCCAGTGTATGTATGTTAAAATTGATCTGGTAAACTATATTTCAAAATAAATACTAGTGTAATAAGTTTTATATAACTGAAAAGGTTTCAAAGCTGCTAAAACACTTCCTATTTTTAAGAGATGTGAGCCCTGGCTGGCGTAGCTCAGTGGATTGAGCGCAGGCTGCGAATCAAAGCATCGTAGGTTCGATTCCCAGTCAGGGCACATGCCTGGGTTGCAGGCCATGGCCCCCAGCAACCGCACATTGACGTTTCTCTCTCTCTCTTTCTCCCCCCCTTCCCTCTCTAAAAATAAATAAATAAAATCTAAAAAAAAAAAGAGAGATGTGAAATGCAGTATGGGACTATTTTAATTTTTATTCCTTAAACCCAAAGATTAACTATGAAAGGGTCCATCCAACCTTAAAAATTCATACTGGCTTTGAACAATTTTTGTAACTTGTGATACAAACATAAATTAATGCCAGTGGGGTTTTTTTGTCACCAGTAAGTGCAACCAGGGGACCACTTACTCAAAAGATGTGATTGCTTGCGTAATACCTTGATAACGTTTTACCCACCTTTATAAATGCTAAGTATAACATTAACCCAGTAGATTAAAAATGTGGGGGTTAATTAAAAATTTGATGGTAAGTGCCCTGTTTTCTAATTTGGTGGCTTTTTGAATATTTTAAAGCAGAATGGCCAATTTGTATTTTTCCAAATAAATTCAGGTGAGATAATATTGCCCAAGTCAAATAATTACATCCTAAGACAAGTTTATGTAGTACTTAATGTGCACCTATGAATTTGAAGCATGGAATTAAAAATAAAACTGCTTTTTCTCCTCCCCTCCCAAAAAAAATTCCCTGTGTGATGATTCTGATATCCCTGCCATAACTAGGTCTGGTTCTGATGGTTTCTCTGTCTCTTCAAATTTTTTTTTTCCTTTTAGTGTGCCTTGTCAATTTTTCTTGGTAGCTGGACATGCTGTACTTGGCAAAAGGAACTGCAGTAAATAGGCCTTAGTAATCTGGTGGTGAGGCGTCAGGGGAGGGGAAGCATTCTTGAGTCCTACGTCTATGGCTCAGTCTTTTAGTGGGCTGTGTCTCCGGACCGTGAAGTTTGCAAGTGCTTCTCATTTCCTCTCCTCCCTCCCCTCCCCACTATGCCCATGACAAGATGGCTAGATGGGGCTCCAGCTGGATAATTCCATCCTCCCATGTGGAAAGCTAGAGTCGGGTGGAATTGGGGATTTCCCTCCTCCCAGGTTGGTTAGGCTCTAAAACCCCCAACAGCTTAGGTTTTGATAAAATAATTTCTCTCAGGGGCAAGCTTTGTTAAGAACAGAATGTTCTAGCATATTTCAAAATGGTTCCTTTCCCTCCCCACTGGTGGAAGCACAAGGGGGTTTTTCTCCCATAGTCACTGAGAGAACTGGTTTAGCTCCTGGGGGTAAAACTCACAAAAGTGTAATGGCACCCTTAGGACTGCCCCCCCGCCCACGACTTTTTAACACAGACTTGTCCATGCTGAGCCTCCAGCAGCTTGTCCATTACAATTCAGGTTTCCATCCCATGATACTGATTCCTGCAGGGGTTTCTGCTCTGGTAAGTTGCAATTGTCTGTCTCTCCAATTCTGGGGGCAGTGGTTTGCCCTGTGACCTCACTTCTCTGATGAATCTACAGCCATGCACTGCATAATGATGTTTTGGTCAAGAATGGACTGCATATACAATGGTGGTCCCATAAGATTATAATAAATTATAAGCAAAAATTTGTTTGCAATGTTGAAAGAAGAGGGTGGACACAGCTACCTGATTTTTACCAGGAGAAAGTACCAACTGAGCTAATTAGGGAGGATTTGTAAAAGTCTTTTTTTTTCAGATTTTATTCATTTTTAGACAGAGGGGAAAGGAGGGAGAAAGAGAGGAAGAGAAACATCAGTGGGTGGTTGGCTCTCACATGCCCCCTACTGGGGACCTGGCCCACAACCCAGGCATGTGCCCTGACTGGGAATTGAACCAGCAACTTTTTGGTTCACAGACCAGTGCTCAACCCACTGAGCCACACCAGCCAGGGCTGTGAAAGTCTTTAATGAGATGAAATTTCAGCTTAGCTAAGAAACGAGTTTTTCTTTCACACAGAGTCTGAATGACAGGTGTTGCACAAGTTACTTCAGACCAAAAAGGAAGAATATTAAATTTTCTTTTCTCTACTTCAACACAAATCTGGACACCTTCCTTTGCAGTTGGTAGTATTAATAAGCTCCAATTAACACTTATAAAGCAAAGTCCACCAATTCTACAGCCTCTCATCAAAGATACCATGAGTTACACGATACACAGTTATCTTATGTAGCACTGAGAAAGGAAACACTGCTAAATAATTATGAGATATAATCAAATGTAAGATATATCCTTATTTCAGGTATTTTAAAATGTGGGAAAATGTGCACGTTTAGAATACAGTGGCTTAGATCTCTTCTTTGAACTCCAAGTCTGTATGGTCACCTGAATTTCTCACAGGCTCCTTAAACGTAATGTTTCCTAATCTGGATTCTTCATCTGCGTCGCCAGAGCTGTTCCTTTCCCTGCATTCCTTGTCCTAGCAAATGGAGCCATCCCAACTAGAAACATGTTAGCATGCCAGACTCCTGGCCCTCTGTCAGTTCTGTCTTATACCTCTCTTCATGGCATCGCCTTCTCTCTTGTCCTTCTGTCCTGGCTTTGAGTCAGGTATTCCTCATCTCTCCACAGGATTACAGCAGTAATCTAATTGCTCTCCATTCCTCTAATGAATTCCTACTCTACACTGTCCTTGTTTCCTTTCTTAAGCATCAGTCTGATATTATTCCTTGCTTTGGAAACAAGTTGAAGACTGTATCCAAACAAACAGGCAAAGGACATGAAAAGGCCAAATCACAGAAGAGAAAAATACACATGTACACATGTGAAAAGTTGTTCATCTTCATTATGAACTAAATGTAACTGACAGTTTCTCACCTTTTCAATGGGCATTTTGTGAGAACTTATAATAAGGAATGCAAGAGTGTTGAGAAACGCCCCTATATATCATTGGCGGTGGGCAATATTTTGGATGACATTTTGGCAATGTTTTGGATAGGAGTAGGAAAGCAAACTACCAATTATCTCTGAGCCTCAATTACTGCATTTGGTCAAATTGGGCTGATACCTACTCTAATGGTTTAAGGAAGTGAGATAATTTAGGGAAAAGAGATTTGTAAATAATAGTAGCTAACATTCATGGGGCACTTGCTTTTCTAAGTGCTTCATATGTGTTACCTCATTTAATCTTCACAGCAATCTTGTAAGTACTACTGTTATCATCCCCATTTTGCCTCTAAGGAAAGGCACGGAGAATAAAATATTGCCCAAAGAATGGAGCTGGGATTACTGGTATTAATGTAGCTTCTTGCAGTGACCGACACCGCCGTTGTTTTATGTGAGAGCCCATAGCATCCACAGTAGAAACTTGTTTACATAGAATTTGCTCCTTCGTTAGCTACCATCAACTGGCCACCTCTAATTGCTTTGTGTATTCCATCACGGTCTTGTCTGACTGAGCTCCAGGGAACTCAGCTCACCTCTCACTCCAATTCATTTTCAGTGTCCTGGCCGCCACTGGGTACACGGTGAAACCTTAGGCAGTGGCCTAACAAATGTTGTCGTGCATTTCTGTGGGATCAAAGGCATATATTTATAAATGTGAATTTTCACGAGGCTGAGACAGATACACACTAACTAGCTACATACAGGTGAGTACGCGCCTTGAAGACCGTAGCTCCGCTCGACACCTGGGCCGTGGGCTGACTTTTCCAGCTTTTCTGTGTCAGTCGTATTTGCCCGGAACCTTTCCTGCGGATTCTGAGGCACCCGGGCGGTACAACGCCACTGAACACACAACAGAGCAAGTACTAGTAGTCTAACTATATGCCTAACATTTCTAGTTCACTTACACAACCTGGGAGAAAACATTCTCAAGTTCTTGCACTTCTTAAAGTACTAAGCGCCGAAAAAAAAATTTATCCCTTAATCATTGTTATAATCAAATGACTTCGAGAGAGTTTGTTGTTCCTTTTGGTTAGGCATATATATGGACAGCTCACTTGGAACGAACAGGGAAGGCGGGGGAAGAAAGCGGAAGCCGCAGGGTCTTCTAAACCAGAAAGTCTACGGAGCTATCGCCAGGCTATTTGCGGTGCTCCCCTTTTAGACGCAGTGTTAGAAACAGGCGGGGGGGGGGAAGGCATCGTCGCTGAAGCTGAAACCAGGCGGCCGGAGTTCTCAGGGATGAACCTCGAGTTGCTGGGTAAGGAGGGCTATGGCTGCGTCTTAGACAACGTTTTGGTCCTGGAAAAGAACCCGGGCGGGAGAGGATTCAGGCTGCAGCTCTAGATACCTAGTTCTGCAGTGGATCACTGGGCACTCCTGATATACAGCAGCAGCAGCAGCAGCAGCAGGAGGAGGAGGCAGCCCCCTCTTCTGCCCGTGCAAAATGCATTGCCTTCCCGGAGGCTATTTTCTGATCAGTTTTGGAGTGGTAGAGACAGTTTGTGGCTTAGTTTTTTGATGACAGGCATCACAGGTGCTGAAGTAGCCCAGAACAGGCAGGACCACAATTACTGGAGAAGGAATCTGAGGGAGTGGGGCTTGAAGTGAAGCTCCTAAGACTTGTCAGGGTTTTAGGTGTTTGGACAGGTAAATCTTTTTGTAGAAATTCGAGATGCGTAAGGAGGGGAACTTGGAAATCTAGTTGAAGTCCCTTATGGAACAGATGGAAAAAATCTCAGAGGGTAGTGACTTGAAGGCACTAAACAAGCACATGGCATAGTTGGCACTGGAATCGTTATCTTGACTTACTATTTAAGCTCCGTAACTACCAGGTATGGTGTGTAAAAACACTGAGGTGTGAATGACAGAGACATTTGCCTTTTGTCACCCTCTCTTTGAGTCATTTCCTCACGTTACTCCTTACACCTTACTCAAGTTGTTTAAAAACTGTAGTTCTTTCTTCTAGGCTTTCATTAGGTGTTTAGCATGGTAGCCTAGGGAGGTCTAATGTTCTCCAGAACTCCTAAACGACTTGGTGTCTTTAATGGCTGTGTTTCTCTTTGAATAAAAGATCAGAAGGTGTTTCTGGCTTTGCAAAGGACTACAATGATATTTAAGAAATGGTCTTTACCTTTAAGGAGCTTTTTGTTATGCAGAAAGATTAGCATGATTATGTAAAGAGCCACAATGTATTGCAGAACATAGGAAATCCTTTAAGAGTCATTATAAAGAGCTAAGAACATGTGGAAGAGGGAATTAATATCTTTGGGGCAGGGGAAGACAGGCAATCAGGAACAAAAAGCCTGTGGAGGAGATAGAGTTTTGAGTGGACATTTAAGATTGGTCAAGTATTGACATACTGTAGTATTTCTATTTGGGGAGAGGGTGCTTACCAGGAATATGCTTGACTTAAGATATCAGTGAGAGAAGACCTCAGGAATTTACCTGCATGGTTATGGGTACTGTGAGTAAAGAGAAAGTCAAGAGAAGGGGTTGGTGCCATCAATTTTGTGGAGGTTCTTGAATGCCTGGCTGGAAAGGTTGTGCTTTTTAAGAAGGGTACAGAAGATCCATTGAAGGGTTTTGACTTATTTAGGGGATAAGAAGATAAATGATATAATGATAATGATCAGTTAACAGTTAGGTAATACTTACTATGAACTATGTATGTTTTTAAGTGCTTTCCGTAAGTTTATCCAGTAGAGGGAGAAGAGCATGTACAGGTTGGTGTGGTGTGGTGTCTTCCATAGAAGCTAATGGTAGAGCATTTGAGGCTGAGAGCTGGGGAAGGGCTGCTCTATTTAGTCTTGAGGCAGCTTGGGGCCCCCTCAGCAACTTGAGCAGAAGCCAAATTACAATGATTTTTAGGAAGGTGTGGGAGGCAAAAGGGAGGGAAAGAGTTGACCCTTATTTTTAAAGACTAAAATGTAGAGGAAAGATGATGGCTAGTATGTTCAAAGAGATAGCAAAGTCATGGGAAAGGTTTTATTTGTTTTTTTATTTATACAGAAAATTCATGAGTGTGAAACTTAGAAATATTTAGCACTGAAAGTCTAGACAATTTAAAAGAAGGCTGGGTCCAAAAGATGTAAATCTTTATGGAAGTGACTCTGAGTTTTAAAGTGGAAAGTTAGTGATTACAGAGGAAGAGGAGAAAGGAGCAGAAGTGATGTGATGGTAGGAGCATACTGAAGGATTTCTGACCAGATAAAGGAAATGAATGATAATGTGTTCTTAATGTGGACACTCAAGGTACTACATCTGCAACCACTTTTTGAGCCCATGCTGTGTATCAAGCAGTATGCACTGGAGATAAAAGTTACATAAGAGTTTTTCAAACATACTTTTCTCACAACTCATAATACAAATATATTTTCTATCAAAACCCATTATATATACTTAAATTTATAACTGAGTTTCTCAAAGTTACACTTAATCCTTGTTATGCTAAGTACCCTTTGGTATCTTCTAATCTATTAAAGAAATTTGTGGCTCACTAAATTGATTTATCCATTTATGGTGGATTGGGTCCTACTGTTGGAAAAACATTGAAATAACATACAGCCATTGCCTTGGAAAAAACATAGAACTAGAAGAGAAACGTAAATGATAAGCCACTAGGAGTTTAGATCTAGAAAGCTCATGGAGGCCCTGGCTGGTATGGCTCAGTGGATTGAGCAAAACAAAGGGTTGCCTGTTCTATTCCCAGTCAGGGCACATGCCTGGGTTGCAGGCCAGGTCCCCAGTAGGTGGCATATGAGAGGCAATCACACATTGGTGGTTCTTTTCCTTTTTCTTCCTCCTTTCCACTCTGTCTAAAAATAAATAAGTAAGTAAGTAAATAAATAAAATCTTTAAAAGAAAAAAGAGAGCTTATTGAGGTTTTTTAATTTCATGTTTTTCAAATGAATAAATAAACATACATGTATTTATCACAGCAGTGAAAACAATATAAATATGTATGCAGAAAAAATTGTCTTTCTCCCGTTCTCCACATGGTAACTGTCTGGAGTTTACCCTTTTATACCCTTTGGCTTACTCAGATAAACACATTTAAACAAATGTCTAAGGGCTTTGTTTTTGCTTTTTCCAGATACAGGACCTTTGTAGATACATTATTTGCAACTTTCTTTCTACACTCAACACTGTAAAGATACCATTCCTACACGTTAGGAGATAATAGAGCTAACAATTTTTAATGTATTCATGTAGATACACTCATGATATATAATTTTAACCATGGATGCTTTTTCCTTTTAAGATTTTTATGTATTTCTTTTTAGAGAGAGGGGAAGGCAGGGAGAGAAGGAGAGAAACATCAATTGGTTGCCTCTCACATGCCTCCAACTGGGGACCCGGCCCACAACCTAGTCATGTACCCTGACCCGAAATTGAACCAGTGATCTTTCAGTTCACAGGCCCGTGCTCAGTCCACTGAGCCACACCAGCCAGAGCAGGATTCTTTTTTTAAGTATATTTTATTGATTATGCTATTACATTCGTCCCTCTTTTTTTCTGCCCTTTATTTCCCTCCGCCTTGCAACCCCCTCCCACCAGCATTCTTTCCTAGTTCATGTCCATGGATCATACATGTAAGTTCTTTGGCTTCTCCATTTCCTATATCATTCTTAACCTCCCCCTGTCTATTTTGTACCTACCATTTATGCTTCTTATTCCCTGTACCTTTTCCCCAGTTCTCGCCCCTTCCCCTTCTTGCTGATAACCCTCCATGTGATCTCCATTTCTGTGATTCTGTTCCTGTTCTAGTTTGCTTTTTATTTTTGATTTTAGGTTCAGTTGTTGATAGTTGTGAGTTTATTGTCATTTTACTGCTAATAGTTTTGATCATCTTTTTTTTAGATAAGTCCCTTTAACATTTTATATAATAAGGGCTTGATGATGATGATGAACTCCTTTAACTTTGACCTTATCTGGGAAACATTTTATCTGCCCTCCCATTCTAAATGATAGCTTTGCTGGATAGAGTCATCTTGGATGTAGGTCCCTGCCTTTCATGACTTGGAATACTTCTTTCCAGCCCCTTCTTCCCTGCAAGGTTTCTTTTGAAAAATCAGCCAGTAGTCTTATGGGCATTCCTTTGTAGGTAACTGTCTCCTTTTCTCTTGCTGCTTTTAAGATTCTCTCCTCTTTCATCTTGGGTCATGTAATTATGATGTGCCTTGGGGTGTACTTCCTTGGGTCCAAGTTCTTTGGAACTCTCTGAGCTTTCTGGACTTGGAACACTATTTCCTTTGCCAGATTGGGGAAGTTCTGCCTCACTATTTTTTCAAATAAGTCTTCCATTTCTTGCTGTTCCTCTTCTCCTTCTGGTACCCCAATGATTCGGATGTTGGAATGTTTAAAGATGTTCCGGAGGTTCCTAAGCTTCTCCTCTCATTTTTTTGAATTCGTGTTTCTTCATTCCGTTTATTCATTCTGCTCCAAATTGTTGAATTGAGTCTCAGTTTCCTTCCTGTCACTGTTGATTCCCTGTACATTTTCCTTTATTTCACTTTGCATAGCCTTCACTTTTTCTTCTATTTTGCTATCATATTCAGTCATTTCTGTGAGCATCCTGATTACCTGCAGAGTTCAAAACACTCTGCATCTGATTGGTTGGCTATCTCTTCATTGCTTAGTTCTATTTTTTGAGTTTTGATGTGTTCTTTCATTTGGGCTATATTTCTGTGTCTTGGTGCACCTGTTACATTGTGAAAGGTGGAGCCTTAGGTATTTGCCAGGGTAGGGCAACCCACGTGGCTGCATTGTGATGCTATATGTGGGGGGAGAGGTAAGAGAGGGAACAGTGTTGCTTGCTTGGCTCTTGGCAGGCTTTCAGTCTCTTTCCCCACTACGCACAATGAAACTGGGCCCTTCTGGTGCTGATTCCCAGGTGATGCATTGGTGTACGTTCTAGGACCCTGTGGGGCTCTCCAGTGAGCTCTCCTGTGAGGCTGGAAGTTTTTCCCACTGCCGCCTCAACTGCCACAGGTTTTTACAGTCAGAGGTTTTGAGGCTTTATCCTCCCCATGCCACGCCCCCCCGCCCCCCTCCCCCCCACTCTGGAACCCTGGGTTGCCCAGTCTGTCTCGCTCCCCAGTTATTCCTCCTGGTTTATCTGCACACAAATGTGGCACCACCTGCTCCGCTAGCTGCTGCTTTGCAGGGAGTTCTCTCCACCCGGCCGCCAGTCTCTACCCCTTCTACCAGCCTGGATGCATGTTTCTTCTTTAACTCCTTGGTTGTCAGACTTCCGTG